GTGTATATAATATTATTGTTTATTAACTTTGCGTGGTATTGTATTGATTCGTTGTATTGACTTAAGGTGTAGTCACTAAAACGTAATCTCTGAAATATCCAGAAGTTACTCATGTTTTATTGAGAATAATCTTTGACGTTCACTAAGAATCTTCGTTGTGATTCCTTGAGTTTAGTCTTAGTATTATTAGCATTATTAATTTTGAGAATTTTATTTGAGTTACAAATCGGACGTAACAACGTAAGTTGAATTTTATATCAAACAGTCAGATTTTTCAAATAATAAGCATATTTTTTTCTTTTATATAGAAATCAAAAGTCTACCTGCAAAGCGAACCCAAAGATAAAATTGGTCGAAGCAGAGCTGTTACGTAAGTTGATTTTATATCAAACAGTCAGATTTTTCAAATAATAAACTGATTTTTTATATTTTTATAATAAAAATCAAAAATCCGCCTGCACAATGACAATTATGACCTCAGCAAAAGAAATCAGCCGAAGCAGAGTCGGAATGTAAGTTGATTTTATATCAAACAGTCAGATTTTTCAAATAATAAACAGATTTTTTATATTTTTATAATAGAAATCAAAATCTGCTTACAAAACAACAATTACGATCTCAGTGAAAGAAATTGATCGAAGCAGAGCTGGAACGTAAGTTGATTTTATATCAAACAGTCAGATTTTTCAAATAATAAACTGATTTTTTATATTTTTATATAAAAATCAAAAATCCGCCTACATAACAACAATTATGACCTCAGCGAAAAAAATCGGCTGAAGCAGAGTCGGAATGTAAGTTGATTTTATATTAAACAGTCAGATTTTTCAAATAATAAACTGATTTTTTTCTTTTTATATAGAAATCGAAAGTTCACCTGCAAAGCAACCTAAAGATAAAAATTGGTCGAAGCAGAGTCAGAACGTAAGTTGAATTTATAGCAAACAGTCAGATTTTTCAAATAATAAACCGATTTTTATATTGTTTTAATAGAAAAAAGACAAAAAATAATTTCAAAACCAAAATCGTCTGAAGAAGAGCCAAATATTTCAGATTGTAAGTTGAATTTTATTATATAATATATTCATATTGATACTAAATATCTTTTTAAATTATAGTTCAAATGGATATTAATGAAATACATAAATTATTCAAGGGCATTGAGCTTCCATCAAAATATCGTCAACAGCCAACGGCTGATACTTCAGTTTCAGCTTTAGCTGAAAGTGACGATGAATCAACAGATAGTATTAATTTTTGATTCATTACTTTTCATTATTTATGATAATTAAAAAATATTTTCTTTATTTTATATAGAAAATAAAAGGCTGAAGAAGCAGCTAGATGATTTTTATAAAAAGATTAAGAAATTAGAAAAACAAAATTCTGATCTTTTATCAAGAAACGAACAATTAGAAAACGAAAATCGATTCCTAGCCAAAATAAACAAAGAATTCAGCAAGAAAAATAATGAAATGCAGAAGAGGTAAATTCGTATATTACTAATATTCTAAAATTCTCAATAACTAATTTTTTCTTTTCTTAATATTTAAGACTTGACCAATTTAATAAATTATGGCTGCCAAAATCGTTTAGATAGCAAAAAGACGATTCTGATGACAGTCTTCCTGCAAAGTGAAAAAAAATCGGCAAATCGAAATTGAAAGGCAAGAAGCCTATTCACTGTACTGATGACGAATTAGAAGAAGAATCAGCAAATACTAATTTTGAGGACAGTGATCTTTTGTGTCTCAAAAAAATTCAAAAAATAATTATTCAGCTGGCGGGTTTAAATCATGTTTATTTGGATCAAATGAAATAGATGAAAACTATAATGATGAAATTAAATGCTATTTAGATAATATTAGAACCCTACAAGCTTTACCTGAAATGAATTTATTTCAATGGTAGATTGATAATAAACAAAGGTTTCCAACTTTATTCAAGATAGCTAGAAAATATTTGAATGTACCAGCCACATATGTTCTAAGTGAGCAGCTGCTAGAAATCAAATTACTAATGAATGGATCAGTTTAAAACCAAAGATTGTTAATAAATTAGTATTTTTAAAATGAAATATTAAATATTATAATCCTTTTGTATAATTGTATATTTGCAAATTAAGGGATTTTAATTGTTATTATAATATTTGTAATTGATAATAATTAGCTTATTAAAATTAATAATTACTATATAATGATTTTTATATGTTCAAATATAGAGTCAAATTTTTTAAAAATTATTTTAACAAGATTTTAATAAGTAAATATTATATCGAAAATTATTATATTGATTAAAGTATCTCTCGTGTATTCAATGGTACTTGGATATTCAGCAGCAAACCAAGTCCCAAAATCAGAGGAATTGTTCAGTTGCTTAAAAAGGGGATAACAGTAGATGCAAGCAATATTAGGATGTATTCAGCTAATATTTTGCGATTCTCCAAGTATGAAATTGTTTGTGTAGTTGTATTTGATAGAAATAATTATCAAAATCAACCATAAAAGTAGAAAAAGGGATGTAGATTTCTGGCAGAAGGCATCACTTGTCACCTCCTAAATTCATAAAGAGGTGATTTTATGTTTATTATGTATTTTATAGAACACAATGTATTATAAATTGTAATGTAAATCAATTGAATAAAGAATAAAATAAAATATTTATTGATTTATTAATAAAATGTAAAATAATACAATAAATGCAACTATTACTGCCTCTGCCGGCACTCTGTAATAAGCCCAAAGAAGAGAATAGAACTATCTTATTCTAATCTAAAATCTAAGATGAAAAACACTTCTTTTTATAATAAATTTCCTTTCCATGGCTTGGTTATAGAATTTTGGCAGGATTACTAATTCTTGTGCTTGGTCAAAAACGGTCATTTTTGACATATACATTCCATCATCTCGAGGAATCTAACTTGCAGAAAAGTCCGAAAAGTCAATTCCAACAGATACTGTATGTTAGAAATTAGCAAATTGATCGTCAAGTCCAAATTTAGGCACAGTCAAATTCCGAGAGTGACATATGATTGACACATGAGCGGCGTTATGTGTAGAACAAGATGTTCGAATAGTTTCCTTTTCTTTCTTGTTCTGTTCAATAATGGATAAATGGCGTAAGATACTGCTTAGTAGAAAATTCCATCTCAGATAAAGATAACAAATCAACCCATTTATACTATATAAAAATTTTGGAGAACAATAGAAAAATAAATTGTGCAACACTCCATGTGATTCTTGAAAAAAAAATGTGCAGAAGTTAGAAGTACAATAGGTACGTTAAAAGCCTTATGCAATGACAGCATGGTGCGTCAAAATCCATTACTTATAAATAAATGCATTGCTTTTTTTAAAAAGATATCTATTCTCATTAAAACGTATTTCTTTCCACTTACCTTTCTTTTTTTCATTTTTTTTTCAAAATGTAAACAAACTTTGTTGTGAAACTTCAGTTGGGGAGAAACATTCAAAATTTTAATACTTTGCTCAAATTTCTTCCTAATCAATCAAAAAAAAATTCTATCTGATAACGGAGTTATAACTTCGACTTCATCTTCAAGACCCCAATATTTCATAAGATAACATTTTATTACTGACATTTGTCGTTTCGTTACGAGATATCTTAGAATTCAAAGTCGAACAGATTTAAGAATTAGAGATACTTGTCAATCTTTTACAAAATTTCCCAATACATAAACCAAATTACACATTAATGGAGTACATTTAGGTATACCATTTTCACAACTATTACTTATATCGGAGCTTTCAAATTTACAAGAACTTAGCTTATAATTATGTAACGTAGAAGGTATTTTAAAAGATTTCAACATACTTCAATATGTTGCCTTTCCGAAATTGCAGAATTTAAACTTTGGAGCTGAATGCCCAGATAACGATTACCTAATCAAATTCTTGGAAATCAATGGAAAGAGTTTGATGAAGCTTAAACTTTGTGATAATATTGATAGCTCATTAAATTTAGTTTTAGGCAAATTTTGATTAGCGTTTTATGCTTGAAATTGCATCATCATCTTCAACAATCAACTTTCTATCAGATTAACTCCAAAAGGTGCAAAAGGTCAGAAGGATCACAAGCATGTCTACGGTTGTGAAAGAAAGGATCAACAAATAGATAGGAGAAATAAGAAATAGTTCCTCAAATTGTAGCTATAAAAGGTGGAACCCAAAGAATCAATTAATAATATTAGGGAAGAACTTAGTAAAAAAAGGAAGCCTAAGTTAGAGGAACTTTTGAATTATTTAATGGTGGTTCTGCTTCTGATAAACTGGAAAAAAACCTGTATCCGAAGGAGGATGTAAATTATGGCGTCCTTGGAAAACCAAAACCAAAGACTAACTGCCGTTCGAGATCATTATAAAACTAAGGATAAATTATTCTTAGTTTCAACTCCTAATATACGTTTATTAAAAACATTAATTTTAGTATATGTATATCATAGCATGCAAAATCAGTTTGTAATCGCTTAAGAACTTGTTGAATAAAGCTAATAGCTAATCTTTTTAATAAAGTAAATTATTTGATCTTTTATCGGAAATTAACGTTAAGAAAAAAATGATCTATACTTTTTGAAATCAATAGTTGACATTATCATTATAACTAGAGGCTAATTTAAATTAGGGAGAGACGGTACTTTCTATAATTGTTCCGTACCGGTTTTTGATATACCTACGTTATGATCTCGATTCTATATTTCTTAATAAAAAAAAAAATTTTTTTCAAAAAAAATAAAATAACTTAATAACGATAATAATTAAAAAATGTTGATCGTGGGAGGAAAATCAGTACGAATCGTCTGATCAGTACGGTAGTTTTCCTAAAATATATGATCGTACCGTACTGGTACCGGTTTTTCCTATATCATTATTTTTAGTTTTTTTTTTTTTTTATTTTTTAAAAAAAAATTTTTCTTTGATCGCTGGTTGTTATGGCAATCGTGTATTTAATCGAACTTGCCTTCTGAAGTATTGTTCCTGAAAAAAAGTTTATACAATGCCCATTCATCAATCTAGTCGAAATTCGTCGCGATCACATACATATACAGACAAACTCGCAGTTATCGAAAAATTTCATTTTAATTTGCTTTCATCAACATATCCATGTTATTTCCATATTATTTATTCCAGCAAATAAGTACAAGTGGTTTATCATAATTAACAATTTCCTCGCTACTAGTAAAGACGGAAATATAAATTGACCGGATTTCCATGCAAAAATGCTTACTTTATTAATTCGATTCTTGGATTGCGTGTGGTTTTGTGTGATAACATATATATTAATAGAATAACTTGTTTGATCGAATTTTCCTATAAAGAGCAAAATCCGTTGACACAGGTTTTCGTGATGCGAACATGCATACCTAATTTCCAATGGTCGAATAATACTTGGATCTTTACAAAACATATGATAGCATGCTCAGTTTCACAGTGTAGTCATTTTACAGCTTTGTGAATATAACGACATTTTTAAACATAACTTTATTTCCTCGCCAATAGCAGATCGAGCTCCTACAAAAATAATAGCAATGTACTGTATGTCCTTTTAATGCTCAACTAGATACTGGGAATGTGACTTGCACAATTTGTCATCCTGTGCCATCCCTCCCTGTTTTCATTTTTACTATATATTTTTTTTCACCGTTAAAAAATTTTGGTTTCACGTCCACTAAACTGTCACCGGACACGTGGTTAAAATTTACTTCTAAATTCTTTTAAATCGTGTCAAGTATTCTCATTGACAAGTTGCTTTTTAGAATCAACTTTTAAATAAATTGTCATTGACACTACCAGTTAACCTCATTGATAGAATAAATCACTTTCTCTATCCGGATTTGAATTTATCACAATGTAAAATATAATATCTCAATGTAGACCATAACCTAACCCTTTTGTTATCCCTTAAAATGTTTAACCTATACCTCTTTTATTTTATTTTTTAAGAAAGTTCTTACAATTCCATTGAGGTGGATTCTCAACTAGTTGTAATTAGTCAGTCAATTCACGGTAAGTTTTATTTTTAAAGAGTACACAACACGCGGTTAGGTATCCAATGCATTTTTTATAATCAGAATAATAATTAATTCTCATCAGCAATCAATTTCTTACGGATTATGACCTCAACGATTTTATACCTCACATATATGAAATGGTTTATGATCGCACTTTGTCTAGAAGTTGTAACGACCATGTTATCCATTAATTTGATTGTTTTTCATATGGATGAAAGTGAAATCAATCGAATTTCCTGAATTGCGTATAATGATGAATTAATTCATAACCATTATTATAGATTATGGTTCTTATTTCAAAAATAATGAAAATATTTAAAGAATTCGTGTATGTTTCAATCTACAATAAATTTCGGATTTCGTGTTATTTTCTTTTTTTTTAGATTTGCTTCCTCGGACATTGAGAAACTTTATTAAAGAAATTCACGTTATAAAATTAAATTAAAATGTGTAATTTATGTATCGACTGATTTCTGACCGTTTTTAATTAATTTATTTTAAAATATAAAGCTATTAAAAATATACAAGAAAATTGCATATTAGATTAAGTTTTACAAATGCTCAATCAAAAAATGTTTAAAATGAACGATTAAATCTTTTTTCTAAATTATAAATTTCATATCTAATTCTTTCGGTTGATTTGGTTGATTTGTGAATTTAAGGATGAAATTAATTCAAGTAAAGAAATATATATATATTTTTGTATAGTTTGAAAATTTAATATTATAAACAATTTTTAAACCTTTACTGACGTTCAACGTAAACTTTCGCAAAGCAGATAAAAATACTAATTATAGGAAATTAAAGTTTGTAAGTGATTGTGCAGGAAAAAAAATGAAGGTACGATTCTAATTCTATTTACCTTTTCTGTAGCGTTTTTGGGGCACAAAAAAAACTGACATCAACAATGTTTCAAAGCAATTTTGATGGTTACACAAATCCAAAACAAATATTTTTGCTAAGGTAATAATTGGTAATAATTTGGGTATATAGCAAACATGTATGTATTTATGGTATGGTTAAAAAAATTTTTTTTTTTTTTGAAAAGATAAATATATAGCAAAGAAAATTGAAAGAAAGAAAAATATAATGATTGATTAATGCATAAACTTTAAAAATTTCTTAAATTTAAATTGGTATTCAATACCTTTATAACTATCTAATTCATATAAATTATTTTTTTATATAAATATAATCCTAATAAGTAATGAAATATAAATCCCTTTGTTAAAAATATTTTCTAATTTCTAATTTAAATTTAATATTTCATTTCAAAACTATGTAAATAAATAGAAGAAATTATTAATTCTTTTAGTCATTAAAAAGAAATCAGAATGTATAGAATAAAATATACCATATGTATAATATATACCAAATATAAATTTGCCATACACACTATACAATGAATATGTTTACTAATCTCTGAATAATTTCAAGAAGATATGATTTTTGATGTGATACATTTTTGATGATCTA